CCCCCCCAGCCTGTCCCCATGGCAGAGGGGCTCCAGCCCTCGGAGCATCTCCGTGTTCCCCTCCGGACTCGATCAACATGCCAGCTGTGCACCTCGGACTTGGAGCTGAGCCTGCTCCTCACACGGGAAGACCCAGAACCTGTCCCTTGCTCTGCCAACAAACCCTGGGTGAGGTCGGGTCAGTCCCCTGGGGAACCACCTCCCCCGCGGACAACGACGATACCCAAATGGACGACTGGGGCCCACGTTCCCTCCCGTTCCTCGGCTCCAGTGTCTTTACTGGTTAGGGACCTGCAGCACTGCACAGGACAGAACTAATAAAATCACTGGAGCACCGTCTCCACTCAGGACGTGCAGGGAACGACTGCTGAAATCCCCCGTCACACCGTGGGTCAGAGCCCCGCGGAGCGTGGCACATCGCCACACCACTAACCATCAGCACCTTTTCCACGTCACAGAGGTGGAACGCGTTTCACTTTCCTACGGTCTGAACCCCTGCGTTTATTTTAACCTGGGGTTTTCAGGGTACGCCAGACGGGCAGCAGCTTCAACCCCACGTGCTCTGGGAGCACGCGCTGGCAACTCCCGCCCCAGAGCGCCCGAGCACCACACCTACCCCAACCCTCACCAGCATCGCCGCGACACGGCGCGTAACGCCTCCTCAACGCTTCCTTTGGACGTAAGGAAGAAGTTCTTCACCCAAAGGGTTATCACACACTGGAACAGGCTGCCCAGGGAGGTGGTGGAGTCACCATCCCTGGATGTGTTTAAGAGACGGGTGGATGAAGTGCTGAGAGATATGGTTTAGTGGTGGACAGATACGGTTGGACTGGATGATCTCTAAGGTCTTTTCCAACCTAGTGATTCTATGATTCCATGCTCTGGGACTGCGTTCGGCGCGAGGACGAAGGCGCTGGGGGGAGAAGCACGGCACGAGCCCACGGACGCGACTCTGGTCACCTACCTACGCACGTCCTGCCGTCGGGCCCCAGCTGCAGTCCCGGGGAAGGGCAGCGGCAGCGCACCTCCCCCTTCAGCACATCGCAGCCATACTGACAGTTTGCCAGCGAGCAAGAAAGGGCACCTAGGGACACAGAATGGAACGTGGTTAGAGAAGACCAGAAAAAGACTAAAAACTTTGGAGAATGAAGAAGTTGTACGATGGAAGTGGAAAAATGCCTGTTGAATCTAACAGCTGCCCGTTCAGGCTCGAAAGAACAAATGCATCGGCAGTAATTTTTTTTTCTCTCCACAAATTACATCTCTAAGGGGAAAAACAACCCCACCAAACCCAAAACTACCCCGATGGTAGCCAGTTGTGTCACGGAATGCAGTCCCCGTGGGGAATATAAAGCCCAGAACGTACCGTAAACCCACCTGGACAGTACTGCTGTTTCAAAACAGGAGTATCTCTAATTAAAGGTAATTTCTCTGCCCTCCTCCCTGTCCAGACGCTCAGAGTACCCCCTCTTACGGGAGCAAGTAGGCACCTGACCTGCAGAGAGACGGTGGTACAATTCTGCACCAGCCAACCACCCCACACCTGCAGCTGGAATGGTGTCACATTCACAGGGACACAGGGCAGCAGAACTGCCGGTGTCTCGCTGCACGGCCAGCGGGAAGCACTCGTCCTTGAGGGCCAATGAGCAGTGATTTACAGCACTGAGGAATGCTTCTGGGGCAACTCGTAAGAAAACCAATAGAATCAAAACATTGCTCTTGGTTTGCTGAGCTTAATTTCATTAGAAAAAAGCAGCTCATCTTGTGCAAACACCAAATTTCCAAATTTCTTTTACTCTGGGACTCCATGTCACACAAGTTTCCCAGGGACCCCCAGGCAGGGATCTCGAGGAGCTCGGCAGAGCAAGCGGCGAGCCTTGCCGTACTTGAGCACGTTCCGTCTGGCATCAGCATGTAGCCGTTGAGGCAGTAGCACTTGTAGCTGCCGTAGGTGTTCATACAGCGGTGCTTGCACGGCCGCGGCTTCAGTCCACACTCATTCAGATCTGCAAGGACGGGGAAGGGGGGTGGGAAAAGAGAACATACAGAGTACGTGTGAAAAAGCTGCAGGATCCTGCAGAAAGAGGGAAAACTGGGGCAATCAGCTTTCGGTATGCAGCCCCGGTGACAGCAGGTGTCCAGAGTATCCTGCCTGAAGCACTGGTCACCGCTCCTGCCAAGGGCGGGTACGCTCCTCTCCCTCAGACATCCCCTCGGAAAGGACGGCCTTAGCGCTGGAGGAGGTGCCAACAGCGGTTTCATAGAATCATAGAATCATGGAATGGTTTGGGTTGGAAGGGACCTTAAAGACCATCCAGTTCCAACCCCCCTGCCATGGGCAGGGACACCTTCCATAGCCCAGGTTGCTCCAAGCCTCATCCAGCCTGGCCTTGGACACTCCCAGGGATGGGGCATCCACAACATCTCTGGGCAACCTGTCCCAGTGCCTCCCCACCCTCTCTGGGAAGAATTCCTTCCTGATATCTAATCTAAACCTCCCTGATTTCAATTTGTCCCCATTACCCCTTGTCCTGTCACTACAGGCTCTTGTAAAAAGTCCTCTCCCAGCACCCTTGTAGGCCCTTCAGATACTGGAAAGCTGCAATGAGGTCTCCTCGGAGTTTCGTTAGGGCATGCACAAGTGAGGCTGCTCACACCTCGCCCCACGGATGCCGTGTGCAGGACCAGGCCGAGCTCAGGAGGAGGAGAGGGAAAGCAGATGCCACTGCTGCAATCACTGTCAGCGAGCTGCCAGCAACCCAGCAGCCCGCTAACACGCTTCAAAACAAGGGGCAGAGGAAGGTGGGAAAGCTGATGCTCACGTACGTCCAACAATCTCACGGAGAAAACGTGTTCCTTACCACCCAGAAACCACGGGAAGAAGGTACCTGACATCAGTGATAGCTGTCCAGGCCTAGCCAGGAAGGCTAATGCTTCAGATGTACAAATTAACACAGAATTCATGACTTCAACTGAAAACCTTCAGCCTACAATTTTCCTATCAGCAGACAATGCTTCCAACAAGGAGTACAGATGGAGTGAGCACTGCCTTAGAATCATAGAATCCCAGAA